GAAGTTTGTAAAACATTCTAACTATTCCGTTGCAGTAAAAAAAAAAATGGTTTTAGGCTTTTAGCTCTGCATGAATAGAAGAACCTAAAATTCTTATTTTTAAATTGCTATTTCATGGAAGGTTTTAATATTAATAGGTTTGGTGACATAGGGCTCACGTTATTTCCAATTTAACAGCAAGTAGAGTGAAATAAGAGTACCTTTAGTTTTTTTTGACGGAATGATGATGTCAACCTTCAAACAAGGATTTATTTGCCACTATCGAAGAGTATAAGGGGTGGTATGCTTCTAAATTTGGTTTAGGGCTTAATCTGCCACTGATAGTCAAGTTCAAGGGATTTTTTTTTGCATGATTCGCCTTTCTTATCAGCCTCTTATTCTCGTAAGCAAGAACTGTACCTTTTGAAATGAAAAATGAGAACCTTTCAAACATCGGCCAACGCAGGGAATCACAGAGTCTTTTTTGCGTAAGCCAGGTATCACGGAGTATTAAAAACGTGATCATCGGGTAAGTTTGAATGTTTGAATTGATTAAATTATTACGTGCCAGGTTGTGAAAGTCTAGATTCTACCTAAACTTGTTTCGATTAGGTAAAATCAAAATTATAAAATTAAATTAATAAAATTAAGGGTTTATTAAATTTAATAAATAAATAATAAAAATTTATATTTTTATATTAATATATTAAAATTCAATAATAACTTTAATAAAATTAAAATTTAATATTATAATATATGATAATATAAAAAATTAAAAATAAAATATATTTTAAAAAATTATTATTTAAATTAAATCACACTTTTTTAATTTAAAACCCGCTAGAGGAGGGGGGAGTGCACCGTAATGCCCACTAAAATTAATACCCCTCCATTCCTTCACCATCCTTATTTTCTCCGCTGTTATTTTCCCTCTTTTCTATCATTTCTCCTCCATTCAAGCTCTTTCTCCTTGTCTGCTCCTGTTTTTTGCAACAGATTTTATCCTTTTTTACTTCAGCAGTGAGCAGCACGAACCAAGTGTAAGGCTGGCTCCAGATGATTTGGGTCATCACTTACCAAATAAAGTTCCATCCGGCCGGTAACTTCTTTGCTTGAGCAGTGAGCAGCGGCGTGAATAGCGAGCAGTGACGTGAGCAGCAACAGTGAGTAGCGGCACCGCAGCAGTTCAATCTCTCCCTTCCCGGCGGCAAACCTAAAGTAAAGAAGATCAGAGATCAAATTTATATCCGGATTTTGGAAGCGTCATCTTCAATCTTTATGAAAGTAAAATTGAGATTTCCAACGATTTTACTGTAAAATCATGATTTTGCGATTTTACCTCCGATTTTATGAAAATTCGATTTTAATTTTACTCAAAATATATACCTAAAATCGTAAAATGGGGCGATTTTATTATTTATAATGTGATTTTGACAACCATGATTGGGTGATCAGCAGGTAAGTTTGATAGTTTGAATTGATTAAATTATTGCGTTTGGGAGGAGTCATTTTTTTCCACCTAAGTCTTGTTGTTTGCCCTTTGAATGTACAGCTATCTACAGACGTGTGGTCAAGCGATAAGCTAACATTTCCTCATAACAAAAGTAACAAACAAGTTGATATGCAAATTGCTTCGCATGTAGTATGCTTGTTTGTGAGAATACTGTTCTTTGGTTCCCTAAGTATACTTGTTTGAGAGAAAACCGCCCCTTTGTTTCCTTGACCAGCTGCCATAAGTCATGGATTCTAGAAAACTGTTAATGGAAAAACTGCTCCTTTGTTTCCTCTTTCGGTTCTCTGTTTCAATTGACACCATATCACCAATCCACTCGGTTAAAGAAGGCAATATCATCGTCTCCAGTGGGAACGTTTTCGCTCTCGGATTCTTCAGCCCTGGCAATTCAAGAAACCATTATGTCGGAATCTGGTACAACCAAATTCCAGAACAAACAGTGGTGTGGGTTGCAAACAGAGACAGTCCTATCAATGACGCATCCGGTGTTTTGTCAATCAACAATCAAGGAAACCTCGTGCTTCACCAAGGCAATCAAACAGTATTCCCTGTTTGGTCTACTAATGTCTCCATCAAGACGGGCTCCAAGAATACTGTAGCGCAGCTCTTGGATTCTGGGAATCTTGTTCTGTTTCAGGATGATACTAAAAGGACTCTTCTCTGGCAGAGTTTTGATTATCCATCCAACACATTTCTTCCGTATATGAAATTGGGGTTGGACCTAAAAACCGGCTTCGAATGGTTCCTGACTTCCTGGAAGTCCCGAGTTGACCCTGGAACTGGGAACTACTCGTTCAGGATAGACCCAACAGGTTTCCCTCAGTTGTCCTTGTACAGGGGATCCGATCGTTTGTGGCGGGCTGGGACGTGGACGGGGCGAAGATGGAGCGGAGTACCCCAAATGGTTCAGGGTTACGTTATTATCAACGTTAGCTTTGTCAACAATGAGGATGAAGTGTACATTACGTGGGGTATCACCTTCCCGTCCATAATCACTAGGCTGATCGTGAATGAGACTGGAGTTCAACAGAGGTTTACATGGGATGCAAAAGAAAATCGCTGGATCGGGTTCTGGTCCGCCCCAAACGAACTGTGTGACTATTACAAGCATTGTGGGCCGAATTCTATTTGTAACACATACCCTGTAGACAAGTCAAACAGTTACGGGTGCTCATGTTTACCAGGGTACGAACCCAAGTTGCCTGAACAATGGTACCTTAGAGAAGGGAAAAGTGGATGCATAAAGAAGCGTAGTAACGTATCCATGTGTCAAAGCGGAGAGGGATTCGTGAAGGTAGCACAAGTGAAGATACCAGATACATCGGTGGCAAGCGCACAGCTGAACTTGGGGTTGAAACAGTGTGAAAAAATGTGCTTGGGTAATTGTTCATGCATGGCTTATGCAACTGCATATTATGAGATGGATAGAGGGGTTGGCTGCTTGATGTGGCATGGCAATTTGGTGGATACCAGGACCTATCCTGATGATGGACAAGATTTGTATGTAAGGGTTGATGCGGTTGAGCTAGGTGAGTCTATTTACAACTCTGGTCTCCAGTTAGGCATATACTGATTATGTATTTCTTTTATGCTGTAGGTGTACTTAGTTTTAGTTGACAATTGACAAGGGTTGACACAGGAATTCGGTTTAACATTCTTTCATGGTCCTTGACTTTAACACTAAAAATCAAGATTCAGCACGTCTTATGATCTTAGCTATGCATCTTAACAAATAATAATGGCTCTATATTTTAAGTTCTTGCTTTTCTCTTTGCTTTAGCTCAATATGCTAAAAGGAGGGGTCCACTTGACAAGAATGGAATATTGGCAATTCTGATAGTTTTAGTGGCTGTAATTCTTTTCACGGTCGTGGTCACATGCTACTTGGTAAGGAGGAGAATCAAAGGTAATTCACTTTCTATATATAGATTTCCTTTTTGGTCATACTTTCTACATATGGCATCATTAATTCATAGATTCTGTTTAATTTGTCATATTTCAGCTAAACCTTGGAAGATAGTACGTAGTAGATTTTAGCATTACTTAAGTTCTTAGTGTTGCTCATACCAGGGACAAGAAGACGAAAGAATTATCGGTCTAGTTCATTGTTCTTGAAGGACTCTTTCAAAACAAATGACTTTGACGAAAACAGCAGTGCAGATTTGCCATTCTTTGATTTACGCACCATTGCTGCAGCTACAAATAATTTCTCTCCTGATAATAAACTTGGAGAAGGCGGCTTTGGCCCTGTCTATAAGGTA